GAATTCTATGATCGTGAGAAGTTCACCTCTTCCCAACTGATCTTGTTCTTTAAGCATCAGCTTAAAGTCAAGATCAGGACAAAAAACGGCGGCTCCTTCATCAGAATTTGGCAAAAGGTGGGTAAATCTTGCGCGAATGTGTAGAGTGAAAGGGGCTGACCTAGAGTGGCACTTGGATGTCGGTTAGGTACATAATTTTGTCCTAACAGGGTTGAATAGAGGCAACCCATCCCGATTTTAGGTTAGTTTAGGTTTTTGTTTTTGAATCTTTAGTTTCTCCTTTTTCTGGTTAACTTAGCTAGGGTATGTATGCTCATTGGTCCCTTTTATTTCTGTCCCTATTTTTCTTTTGTTTAATTCCCCATCCCCTCCCTCGTTAGGTGGTCAGTGATGTCAGTTCTCTGGTGGATGCGGGACGCCTTTCGTTTCGTGTGTGTGATTTTTCGTATTTGTTGTTGTGTATGAATGTGTGTGTGCCTGTGTGAATGCTTGGAGGAATGAATGTGTTCCTTATTTTTCATAGTCCCGCATTCATTTCGTCCAGTTAACTGGTGTTTCTGCCACATTTAAGATTTGTGGGGTTTTTATTACTAACTCAAGTTTTGTTTATTTTCTTGTAAATATTAAGATATTGTACGTACTCATTTGTGGATCTTTTTAAAAGTTGTTGTTTTATGCCCCTATAGGGGGACTAGTTAGGATTTCATAGAGAATTTGCGGTATTATGGTGGACATAGTAAGAAAGGTAGGAGTGAATGTGTTGTTTTGGTTATTGGAACATTGTTGTTATGTTTGGGTCCGTGTCTGTGACTAGCTAAGTTTAGAATTAAAACAGAAGAAGACCGTCCTTTCCCCACCCCCTTTTAGGCCTTGTGCCACATTTTATACTTTTGTATAAATAAATATCGTTCAGCCTGAAGTCGGGTGACCGGCTGACCGACTGATCGGCTGAACTCTCTGCCTTCGGGCGGGGATGAACCCGAACCATGCTACGCCGAAGGGTGGAGTCTCTTTCGGGGAGGTAAACCGACCCTGAACCCGTTTACACGGGTTCAAAGGGCATATTTTTGGCCGAAACCACGGGCTCGGAGATCCCACGTTAAACCGGCCTTGTGCCACATAATGCCCTCGTGGTGGGGGTGACTAAATACCGTTCAGTCCGTCAGGAGTCTGTCAGTCAGTCAGAGCGAGCGAGTCAGTCAGTCGAGTCAGCGGCAGTCCGAAACAGAGTCGCGTTCAGACAATTACTACAAGACATTGGAATAGTGATACTGGTCGAGACTACATTGTTCTCCTTACTAAACCTGATTGTTCGTACTAACATTTTCTACTTCTCTGTATATATCCCTATTTGTAATATATCTGTGTTATTCCATATCCGTGTTCGAGTTCTTCTTTATTGGTTCTACCTTGGACCATCACCATGGAACAAGGACCTGGACCATAACAGTAAAGGAAGCCGATCATTTTACCTGCATCTTTAGCGAGAATTTCACTTGAGGTTGGGTGTGAATTTGAGGCCCAGTATCATCTCAAGTCACGCTGTGTCCTTGAAGTGACATCCGTTTACCGTGAATGGAGGTATTGTTTTCGAATAAATGTTTTCGAACAACTATTTTCGAACAATTTTCTCGATAAAGTTTTTTTGTGAAAATATACAGAAAACATTGCCTTTTGTTTCCCTCTCTGGCATTAAAAACTGATAAAATTGTTAGAAGATTGGGACTACCCTAGTAATCGCATTTTTTAATGTTCGTTCGTAAGGCCAAATTTTTATCGTGTCCTATTTATCGCTATTAATTCATTGACCACAGCTTACGGCCACATCACGTTGAAAAACAGGTTCCCGTAGGATTACTGATGTTAAGCAAAGTCAAGCATGGTCAGTGCCTAGATTTGGGAGTTCTTTTCTTATCAGGGCGATCAGAGTGGGTTTTCCGAGCTGCCGTACCCTCGTAATCACCATTAGACTCACCATTCAAATCTTTCTGAATCCTCTTCACTCTCCACAGATTGACACCCAAACTTTCTGAAATGTTCTTATTTTAGCTTCCGGTGCGAATGCCAAACAGTACAGCATGCCGTTTCCAAATTTTTGGCGGAGTGAATTGCGTCATGGTGCTTTTTTTTCTCCCAGAGGGTTATCCAGCTGACCCTACTATATTGTACAGTCGACAAAATCAAAACAAATAACGCGCACGCATGAAATTAAAAAATATAAAATGGTGACAATTTTTACCCATTTCGTCTTCCTTTTCAAGGCAAAATAAATATGTTTATATATTATATATATATATATATATATATATATATATATTATATATATATTTTTAATGTAACTAAAATGACAATTTCGAAAAAAATCTTAATTGTCATTTATATCAATCATTTTGTCCACAGAATTGATCGTTTCGTCTTCGATATATTATATATATATATATATATATGCAAATAAAATATAAATAAATATATATATATGTAAATCTAGCATGAAAACCCAGGTCTGAAATGTTTTATATATATATTATATATATATATATATATATATATATATATGTTATATTAAAATATTCAAATTCAAAAAAAGACGATATTCATTTGATTCATTTAGTTTGGTTTCTTGTCTTGTGTTTGCCGATGCCTTTTTTCGGACTGAATTAATGTAAATTACCTTTGGGCGTTGATTCAAAGTAAAAAGAATGGTCATTTTTTTCTCAGAGTCTGTCATTACATTCATACTCGTATAAACATGCGAAAGTGTGAGTAATTATTTAATGTTTGAGAATTTCAGCTTGTACAGCAAGGAATAATCAACCCTAGTCAAAGTTTTATGGAATAACTGAAAATCCTATTATTGTGAACCACTAAAAGTTTATCAGATGCAAGCGCTTTTCTAAAACTATAAAAAGTAAATATATATATATATATATATATATATATATATATAATCCAATTTCTCTCTCTCTCTCTCTCTCTCTCTCTCTCTAGCAATCGGTCCCGAAAAATTGAAATACTAAAAGTTATATTTTATTAAAAAAGTTCATAAACAACTTCCCAAAAATTTATTGGTTAATAAATATGTTCTCAATTTTTTAAATACTTTTTTAAGCAGGGAAAATATAGTTGATCATTTTCTACAAATTTTTTTTGTAATATTGTTTACGATAAACATTATTGTTTGAAAATTCAAGGACTACAGCAACCTAGTCAAAGTTTTTTATGGAATAACTGATTGTGTCTAATATTTTCTATTGAATGTGAAAAAGAAATTCAAATTGGAACCGAAAAATGGTATAAAAATGCATTTAAGTAATATATTTTAAATCTGTTGCATTTTTCTACTAATTTTCACGAGATTCTACACACACACGCACAGACACATGTACACACACACAAAATATATTCTGTTCATACGTTTATATTTATGGAAATATATTAAAATATTTGACTGATTTAATCCATTTCAACTAATATATGTGTGTGTATGTATGTATGTGTGTGTATGTATGTGTGTGTGGTTTTGTGTATAAATAGAATGAATACGGAGAACGTGGATGCTAGACAACGTGTTTAGAAGCGACCATTTGATCTTAGTCAGAGCGCACATATATTCTCATCTGAGCAAGAAATACTGATTTATAGGCAAATGATCCCCGGTACTTCTGTGTGCGTACGCGTGTGTATGTATGTTTTTATTTCTCATAATGTGTTCGTTGGTAAATTAATAAGTTCGTAGACCAATAATAATAATAAAAAAAACACTCCATTTTACAAAACAAACGTCTATTTTCCAACGTAATCCAATTCCTTGTCAGCGCCTTTAACCCAATGGTTCTCAATCTTTTTTTGCTGAAAGCACGCTTTTCACTATAAGTCAGAATGCTATTCGCCGCCTTTCCAAGAATATCCGACTCAAAACGTGCATTCCAAATAACATGCATATATTACAGAAAATCTTCATTCTTTAAATATTAGTGAATATACATTTACATGAATTATTTTTATTGGGGAGTTTTACAAATTTAATAGCAATAAAAAATGTTGATGGATTTTTAAACTTGAATACGTGTAGAGTAATTTGTTTTAATTCGTAATTAATTATTAAATAAATAAACAGAAACATACTTAAAAAATCAGAGGTTCAATAGAATTCCTTGGTATTGTAATTTAATAAACAAAATTCTGTAATTAAAACAAAACAAAAAATCAAGAAATGGTAAAATATTCTTCCCCGATTCTCTGACATCATCCTAGTAAAACCCCTGCTTTAACTCTTCCATTGCTTCATCAATCACATAACGCGATCTGTCATATCGATTAGATGCAATGAAGAATTTATAGCAAGCTTCTCGACTTCAGTCACTTACCCACCGCAATGTACGTGGCTTCCCTTTCTCTTTTCCATAAATATTTTCATGGCAGACGCCGCATTGAGCTTTCCTCCTTGGTACCTAGACCGTATGAATTTAAGCGTGCTGCTTGATTGTCAAATCGCCCTAAACGTTTTACTGTTGCAACAAGATGGCGTCATAATTTCTAATAGTTCCTTTTCTCGCATGTCACGATTGTGGAATTCTATTTAGTTTTCTTGCTTTCCTGCAACCTACGATCTTTTAAAAAATCTGTTTTTATTTTCCTTTCTCATAACTTAGATCATAGTGTCATTAACTTGGTTTGGGGTAAAATGATTAAAAATAAAACAAAATCTTTAAAATACTAACTGTGCAAAGCAATTAACTTACTGCCTCTCCCTCATAGATAGATAAAAAAAAATACTGAGATAGATATGAAAAGACTGAAATAGATCGATAGATATGAAAAGCATGAGATAGCTAGATAGATATGAAAAACATGAGTTAGATAGATATATAGATAGAAAAAGACCGTGATAGATAGATCTGAAAAGACTGAGATAGATAGATAGATAGATAGATAGATAGATAGATATATAGATAGATGTGAAAAACCTGAGATGCATATATACATTAATAGGAAAAGACTGTAATAGATAGATAGATAGATAGATAGATAGATAGATAGATAGATAGATAGATAGATAGATAGATATGAAAAGATTGGGGCAGATAGCTATGAAAAGACTGAGGCAGATAGATAGATAGATAGATAGATAGATAGATAGATATGAAAAGATTGGGGCAGATAGCTATGAATAGACTGAGGCAGATAGATAGATAGATAGATAGATAGATAGATAGATAGATGTGAAAAACCTGAGATGCATATATACATTAATAGGAAAAGACTGTAATAGATAGATAGATAGATAGATAGATATGAATAGACAGATAGATAGATAGATAGATAGATAGATATGAAAAGATTGGGGCAGATAGCTATGAAAAGACTGAGGCAGATATAGATAGATAGATAGATGAATAGATAGATAGATAGATAGATAGATGAGAAAAACCTGAGATGCATATATGCATAGATAGGAAAAAAACTGTAATAGATAGATAGATAGATAGATAGATAGATAGATAGATAGATATGAAAAGATTGGGGCAGATAGCTATGAAATGACTGGGGCAGATAGATAGATAGATAGATAGATAGATAGATAGATAGATAGATAGATGTGAAAAACCTGAGATGCATATATACATTAATAGGAAAAGACTGTAATAGATAGATAGATAGATAGATAGATAGATAGATAGATAGATAGATAGATAGATATGAAAAGATTGGGGCAGATAGCTATGAAAAGACTGAGGCAGATAGATAGATAGATAGATAGATAGATAGATAGATAGATAGATAGATAGATAGATAGATAGATATGCCTTATATGATGTTCATACTGTATTGAAGCATAAATGGAGGCCATTAATGAAGAATCGTTTTGATTGCACTAGACAGCGCCTGTGAAAGGAGATAATTTGTGAAACATTACGTTTTCATTACTTAAACATTATTTTTAGTGGATACCCATATTTGTACATATGCGTTATACATGATTTTCACCGTGAGTATTTATATATTCCATGTATAAATATGTTCGCATGTGTGCATTTACCTTTGATAGTACGTATACGTACATACTTTAAATGCTCGTATTATATGCATATATATTTAAATAGCGATACATCATTAAGGAAAGTGCAACACTTTTGAGGATGCATGTCTCAGTCATGCTCAGACCAGGCGTGAATTCCAAAGAGGCACTCACTGTGATTTGCCAACTAATAAGGAGGCCTGGAAATGCGGTGTGTGAACGCATGTTATTGTCGAGGGCAGGTTATGCAATCCCTTTGAAAGGTCATCATAGCAATCAGAAGCAAGCAAGCCAGCTATGCCAAACTGCCTCAACAATTCTGTTGTTTGCAACAATGTTTGCAGATCATCATCTGAACTGAGGAGGCAAATAGTGGTATATAGGCCAGTTGTAGGACATATATGCAGATGCAATCAACCCAATGAAGGATACGTATATGCCTAATACCTACAAAATAAAATGCTGGTCTAAGAGTCATCTTAGAGGCCATGTACACCAAAGGTAGACCAAAGCCATTACAAATGATGTGAGGGTAAGAGGGCAAAATTCATCTGAGTGAGATGTGGCAATCGCCATACATCACACACACACACACACACACACACATATATATATATATATATTTTTAAATAAATAATTATATAGATAGATAGATAGATAATATTAGTGGTTAATATACACATACATATATGTACATATATCTAAAACACACAAATATATATACAAACGTACATACACATAGATATATATAGATATATATATATATATGTGTGTGTGTAAAAAAAAATCCAAGAGGATAGAATCCAAGTACATATATATATATATATATATATATACCTGGATTTTTTTCTGCTACCAGGAAGCAGAAATATTTCTTCTCCTGATGATGGCCATTTTGGCCAAAACTAGTTGAGGAATCTAAATGAAATAATAATAATAAAAACGAAAGAATATGTGTGTCTGAAGATTTTAATTTTTTAATATTTTTCGTTGTTCAATATATATATATATATATATATATATATTCGACTTTTCCGTCGTATTCAACGTATGAGGGTCAAGCAGCTTAGTTCTTAGTAAGCGAGAGCTAGTACGCGATTTGATTATAGTGGCGAAGGTTTCAATTCATACTACCGATGCATATATGAAAAGTTTCCGTCTGGTTTGCATTTATTAACCTTATGTATACATGAAAAGTGAAGATGAAAAAGAGGAAGAAAAGACAAAAAAAAAAAGAAAGAAGTGGGCGTGAACCAAAAACGGAGACATTTATAAGAAAAATGATGTGTAATGAGGAATAAGACAAAGCAGGTAAATTCTCTTACAGGTTACGAATTTAACATAAACATATAAACATATTTAATCCAGTAAGAAGCTACTATTTAGAGGCACAAAAACACATACGCATATACACACACTTGCACACCTACATATATATATACATACGCGCACACACATATATATATATATATATATATATATATATATATATATATGTGTGTGTGTATGTGTGTGTGTGTGTGTGTGTGTGGTTGCGTGTGTTCATATATACATAAACTCATGCATACATATACATATACACATACATACATATAGACATAAACATATGTGCACACAAATACATATATATAACCATACACATATGCATACATATACATATATATACTCATATATACAAATATACAACGTGTGTATATGTATATATATATATATATATATATATATATATATATATATATATACAAATATACATATACAAATATACATATATAAATAAAAAAATAAATACCAACACACCTATACATACATTTAACATATAAAATAAATGGGTCAAATCAAACTAATCTGTACTTAAAAAACAAATAAAGTAGAAATTGTAACAATACTAGTAATAATAATAATAATAATAATAATAAAGGGACAAAGGTAATGATAAAAAATAAAAAAAAAACAATTTAGATTAAAAAAAATGAAAAATATTAGAGGTTGAAATCAAGACGTTAAATATATTCTATTAGACAAACTAAAAGAAAAAGGGAACACGGAGTAATTAACTCGTGTACGCCTATTAAATCTACATATAAACCTGCGTGATTAACATCTATTAAGTCTACATATAAACCTCCGTATATATATGTTGTGGATTCCGGGGATGGAATCCGGCA